ATTCTATGATTCTATGATTCTGATGTTAGGTGGAGCTGAGGCTGAGTAATCCAGTTGGACTCTATACTTCAGAAGCTTTGCATACTACTAGAAGATAGGAGTATCTCCAAATGTCTGGAAAAGACTAAGATCTATGCCCATACATCATATCAGTAGCCCAGTTTACCCTACTACCCTTGAACTTTAGAGAAAAAGAAAAAAACGTATGTAACCCTACCTAGAGATAGATCTTGAGAGTGATAGCAGAGCAGTTGAAAAATAACGACAACGGCATATGCTCTCTTGATACTTTTGTTCCATTGAACAGTTCTAGAAAGGGCTGATGATGTAAAACCTCCACTGAGTTGACTTGAAAATCCCAGGCCTGTGGTCCTGGGAATTCTTCAGAATGGTGTACAAGACGTAGTAATTGGTGCATTGGATTTTTCCTCTATTGATCTTTCCTGATTCAATAAAAAGCTTGTTTTAATACTCAGTTTTTACTCGGCCTGTGGAGGACTCTGGAAACGGTGGCTCCCTTTCCTCAGAAAACTTTTGTTATGGACACGTCTACTGCCAGCCACTTTGCTGCCGTTTCAGTAGGATGCAAAGTGTCCAGGAGATAGCTTATTGCTGTACTGTGTTGATCCTTCAACGTTTAGAGATGGCTGAGTACTCTCCTGTGTGGGGCGGTCAGGTGGTGTTGATGTGAGTATTTGTTTATGGAAACATAGGTTGAGCCTACTGAAGCAGCTCAGATGATAATGAGTATCTTTGTGTGGGACTCATTTCAAAGCTGTGAAGCAGCGCTGGAGGGCGTACAGCCCTGTCAGATGTATAGTGAGGTTTCAGATTGAGTACCTGCTGCTGCTTCCGCTTCTTGCCATGCTCCCTGTGCCTCTGGCAGACCTTGTCATCCTCACGTCAAGGACATCTGATCATTTTGGAAACTGGCTTCTGAACTTCTGCTGTTTTCAAAATACCCTGCTAAGGCAAACTGCAAGCTGGAGCAGAAATCCAGGTTTAAGTTGACAGAAGAGTTAAAAATCCTAGTTTAATATTACATAACCTAAACATCAAGACTTCTGAGCCCTTGAGTTGAGTTGTCTCTAAAACTTATACTCCTATATAAATCAAATACTTCCATTATGTAGGAATAACAAGATTAATTTTTTGTACTTTGTAGTAGACAATTTAAACTGAACTGAAGGCTGGAGGCATTGAGATTCAAGAAGATTTACTGATTGATCTGAAGCCACATAACTCATACACAGGTTCATTCATGCTGTGTTTTGTTGAAACAAAGCCAGCAGTGGAAACCATGAAGATTCTTTTTCTTGCCCCAAGTAATAGTAACATCAAAGGACTTTCAAGGAGTTTTTAAAAAATGATACACCAACTAGAATGATTAATTACAAAGAAAAACTCATCTGAATCTAGTGTAACTATTGTTGACTGAAATTGTCATTCAACTTCTGTTTTTCCAGAAAATGCTAAAGGAAAATGCAGTTTATAAACAGGCCAGTTCTAATGAAGGACTGAATTTTGAGGCTTTTTCTTGCTTTTTAATTTCAAACATACTGCTGGTGTTGCTAAACAGAAGATCTGCTAGAGATGTTGTCTAAGGCTTGTTTAATAATATACGACTGAAGTTAAATTCCATATTGGTAGGGTTTAGGGTTTAGTGCTTCCTTGAGACAACCCTCTAACTGCTTAAAAACACGAAGCCTCAAAACACCCCTGTGAGCATGGGAAGCCAAAAGAAGATCACTCGCTTTGCCTTATGGCAGTAGCAGAACTGAGATTAACCAATATATTCCTGAGTTTCTGATAAATGTATTTCATCACAGTGGTATGAGTTTGTCACAGCAAGAACTTAAATCCCACTAGCATTGGCTCCTTAAAACCTTTTTCGGAATAGAAGCCTGTATCTTTCATCCTGTAGTTCATTTGAAAGGGAAAAAAGACATCATTGTGATAGATGGAGCAGTATAAAGAATTGAGAATATAAAAAAAAACTTTCCCTCTTTCCTAGTGTTCTTCTTTTCTTCTCCATCTTTCAGTTCATGTTTTTTTTTTCTTTTAAGACATCTGACAGACAAACAAAACCAGTAGGTTGAAAACTAAATGTAGAGTAGAGGTACACAAGTAAATCTAAAATAAAATGCCAAATTATTCTTAAGAGAAATTAGAAATAAAACTTAAATGCTTCAAGTTAAATTTTTCTTTGTATATTCTGTTCCATGTTTTTGAAACATTTTCATTAACAAAAAAATACCCTATTTCAAGTGTAGTGCTTTAGAGTCCAGCCACCCATTTGGCTGTATCTTATTCTGCTATGTAAACTTCTGGTATGAATGTTCTCATGGCAAAAAAACTTAAGTGCCTGTATCTCAGAGGAGATGCTGGAACTACCACCCAGTTCCTCAGAAGGTGGCAAAGATAACTGTCCTGTGTGGATCCTCTGGGTATGGATGGCTGTATGTCCCTTGGGAATACAGTACAGGCTGTTGGTGGAACACCATCTGCTTGGAATGGTTTTAAGCAGGGATCTCATCTTGATTAGAAAAGCAGAAATCATGTTCTGCTGCCATGCTTTTCCTTCATAATTCAAGTTCAGCATAGCTATACAAGTAGTAAAAAAAAACCACCAAGGTTGATGCTGTATTATTTTCAAATGAACCAACTGACAAAATGAGACATGCTGTTGGACTCGTGTCAATAACCCCAGCAAGGACTGACTGACTTGACCTATGTAGCCTTAAGGAATTTTCTCCTTTTATGCTAGTGCTGAGAGAAATGTAGATTTCCACCAACTTTTTGTTTATGTTGATAAGACCAAAATTGGATTGCTAGTATTGGTCCAGTCTTGTGATAGGAGTTGATTCATACACACTGTGAATCCAAAGCTTCATTGGTAAAGTAAAAGGAGACTGTCTGGCATATTTGGAATAAAAGACCTTTTTTTTTATTCTATGCTTTGTAAAACAAACATAATGAATCTGTTGGTTTTCTGTTTGGTTTTTGTAATTTGGAGGTGGCAAGGCATATGGCTGGCAAGGTAGACTTGTTTATACTAGTTCTGTTTGGAAATCATGCATGTAATGGATGAGTGAAACAAATATGGAAAGGCAGATAGTTATATTCTTGACAAGAAAATAAACGAAATCCCAGGACATAGTTTTTTTACATTTTTCCATTGTACATGTCCTTGTAATAAAACAGGTGAGTAGGAAAGCATAATTTTAAATTATAGTTGGCGTTGTGGCTCATGAACCACAAATAGAGCATTATGTTTAGTACAGCCTCTCCTGTATCTTAAATAGAGATTTGAAAACTGAGCATGTTGTTATTCACTGTTGTGTCATGTATATACCTTTCAGAATTTGGGATATTATTTTTGAGGAGTGAGTATATAGCCTGACTAATCAGTTGAACATTGCATTGCATTCTTCTAAAAACACAGTCCTTGTTCCCCCAGTGTGTTTTGTGTTGCTGTTCTTCCCTTTCCCACCTCTGTGGGAGGTATGACTTTCACATTTGTTGGAGTAATATTTACGAGTCATTATCAAAGCACAGTGTCAAATTCTCTCCCTCTCTCTAGTTGGAGTGTAGTGAAATAGGGAGTGTTGAATGGTACGAAGGATTGTGAAAATATCCAAGTCTTTTAATGGAATATCACAAAATGGCGTTTGCAAAGATGAGGCATTTGCTGCAGTAAGAGGATATGCACCATTCCTCGTACCATGCCCTTGCAATGCAGCTTCTGTGTGGACATTACACAGTAGAAATAGCCTCCTTTGCAGGAAAAGTAACCATGGGAATATCATTTTGTGGAGAGAGGTGGGTATAGTCAAAGGTACCCTGTATATTATGTCTAAAATACCATTAAAGGTAAGAAGCGCAGGCTAAACATTCGTCAAGCAGTTTTCCAGAATGTATGCTGTAACCTAAATTAATACAATTTGTGTTACGTAAGTTGCTGTCAAAAGGAAATGCGAAAAACATTCATGTTGAGGTTTTTAATCAGTGGATTTATTAACATTTTAAGGTATGACTACTTACTGCATTTTTTTCTAATCTTCTTTGTATTAATTAATTGCATCTGCTTCTAGAAGACTGGTCTCTGACGTCATTTCATTTGAACTGAGCGAAGTCAATAAAGTATCTGAGAATAAGGAGGCATTTCTCTTCTTTGACTTCTAGCGCAGTCAGCTGCCCGTATTCGGAGATGAACTTGAACAAAGAAAGCCTCTTACCTGACCGGTTGAGCGGGGAGATGCCTGCAGCCAGTCCTGTCCCCAGAAACAGGAAAGTGGAAGCAAGTGAAAGATCCACCTCTCCTGTAATCAAGTAATTACGATGGAAGCGATGACGCGCCTAACAACAACAGTACTTTATTTCAGTGTTCTGCAGCGTAATTTGTGGTTGTGCAATGGCTGAATGGTTTCAGAAAGGCCCGACTATTTATCTTGCATTTTCATTTACTTGGAAGAAATTATTTCATCAACGTTTACCGAAAAGGTCACCGAGCTGTCAAAGACTGGTAGTGATTTTACTGTGTATGATTTAGCAAGAGTTCGGTTTCATCTTCAGTGTAACTATCTAGACTACCAAGTGGTTAACTGGAATTCAAAATTGATTGTTTATCTGTTGGCTTCACTTAAGAAAATGATTTAATTGTGTTTCTTTTGTTTTCTGGGATGGCCTTATTGACGTGACTCTAAATTGATGTTGCTCTTTGGAGAATAACCACTATGAATTCTGTCGTTATTGAGGGAGTGGGGAATCACATTACTGGGAGTGAGTTTTGCAAGAATGATGCTTAAGTCTGTAGCTGAAGCTTCTAGCAGGAGCACTGCGAAAAAGCAAAGGGATGTGATACCAAGGTGATGATTTTCACATCATTATTTTCTATCAGAAATTGTGGACACTGTCTCCTGTGCTTTTTTTGGACTGTGGGGATACATAGAGAATTTAAGAAGGAAAGGAAAAGAAAAGAGGCTTTCCTTTCTCTTCAAGGACTACATTAATGTAATTGTGATAACGGGAATGTTCGTAGTGGAGATTTCCAGTTCCCACTGCAATGACCACATTTTTTCAGTAGGTAGTATTTTAAGTGACGTTCTCGGAGACAGTTTCAGCTTCACGTTTTAAAACCCAAAATACTCAGCTGCCAAAGAGCATTGCCTGATTTGATTGTTCTTACAAGTGTAGGGTTGTAGAAATCTGGTGTGACTCAATTACCTTCTGCAAGGTAGCCTGGGTACCGTCCCAATGAAGCCAGTAACAGTTTGAGCAGTGTTCTCTGTGGCAGGGGCTGTGTCAAGTGCTGTTTTTCTCATTGTCCCAACTGAGAGACTGCACGTTTTTAAAAGGTCCTGACTGCTAACAGTGTATTGTGAAAGGGAAAGAAGGGATAGGAGGAAAATGATACTTCAAAGTTTTCTTGTGTTACAAGTATTTGAAGTGGATAGCTTATTACTAAAAATAACATTAGGCAAATTCTGTTCCTGTTGAACTGCCTAACCATTTTAGCTTTGATTTCATGAGGAAGAGAGTTCTGTATTGGAATTTCTGAAAATCCTTGGTATACAGTTTTGTTGGTGGCAAGTAAGAAACTTCTGTGTATTTTTTAAAACAAACAAATCCTTGTACTTCTTCAGTTACACTAATGACTCTTTACCCATAGAGCAAATAAGTTGAACGACAACACAGCTGCTTTCAGTTTTTAAACATTTTGTTAATTTGTTTTAAACAGTGACAGAAAATGCCCCAGCCCTGGCCACGTAGGTCTGAAATCTTCGGCTCACAATCGATCATCTGGAAAAACTATGCCAGAAACAACTAAGCAGGACGATGCAGAAAGTGTATCTCCTTGCAAGAAGCCCCTGTTATGTGATGTGAAAGAAAAGAAGGCACCTGGGTAACTATCAGTTCCTTTCAAAGTATGGGTTATTTGGAGATGGTCAGTTTGAAATGCAGCTTACCGTGTAATGCAGTACAGTGATTTTTCTGTGGAACTCTTGGAAGCAGTGGGGAAGGAGACAGAAGTTCTTCAGCTGTCTTTATATTGGAAATAAGGGAAAAGAGTGTCACAATGTATTTAAGAAATAAGAAATGCGAATCAGAGAGGAGAGGAAAAATACTGCAAGACAGAGAAATTATTGGAACTTCAGATCTTTCTTCCCTACCTCCGTGCACAAATATGTTACTGTATATGTACAAATATTATCAATTCAGCCTGGAGAAGAGAAGGCTCCAGGGTGATCTTATAGCAGCTTTGCAGTACCTAAAGGGGGCCTACAGGAAAGCTGGAGAGGGACTTTTTACAAGGGCATGTAGTGATAGGACAAGGGGCAATGGATTTAAACTGAAAGAGGGGAGATTTAGATTAGACATAAGGAAGAAATTCTTCACTCTGAGGATGGTGAGGCACTGGAACAGGTTGCCCAGAGAAGTTATAGATGCCCCATCCCTGGAAGTGTTCAAGGCCAGGCTGGATGAGGCTTTGGGCAACCTGGTGTAGTGGAGGGTTTCCCTGCCCATGGCAGGGGGGTTGGAACTAGATGATCTTTGAGGTCCCTTCCAACCCAAACCTATGATTCTATGATTCTATGATTATCTTTACGAAGACCTAAAGTAACCGATACGTATGCTATCTGTTCGCTGTATTGAGTCATTGTCATTCAGAGAATGTGCCTTGTGCCAACTTCGAATGACGCAGAGGCTTGGCAGTTTATATTTGAACTGTTTGAAAACACTGATGACTGTCTTCATTTTATCATCTAGCTTTCCACGTTCTTAATGTATCCAGCGTAGCCAGAGAGGACTTTCAGTTGAATAAACTTCCTTTGAAAAAGGCATGAAAAATAGTGTTCGCAGCATTAGGTATATGTGAATTGCTGAGTTATGAAATATTGAGCATCTGGTTAATGCAATACCCAGTGGATCTTTTCAGATGTGTATTCAAAGTACACATGCATAATTGAAGACATAGATACGTATATTTGTGTGCTCTTTGACTGCTGCTGAGCTCGTAGTGTGGATTTAGTTGTGTTGGACTTCAGTACAGTTGTGTATGCCTTCATATGCCAGGTAATCTTTTGTTTCATAGAAGTTCCTGATTGAGGAACCAACCACGTATGAAGCCAACAATGAGATTAATTTTGTTGTGTTAAATCTAAGTGGTACCTAGCTAATGTTCAGTTTCACTTACTCCCTTTCTTTTTTTTTTTTTTTGACTAGTAAGAGGTATCTGTGCATGCAAACAATTATACTAGAAAATTTTAATTTGCAAAAATATGTGTGTAAAACTGCAGTCTCTCCCTCTAAAACATTCCTGAGATTAAAATTCAAGATAAAAATTACATGCCTATAGGATATTCAGTTTTAATTTGAAAGTATCTTTATACTATCTTCAGAGTAGCAAACGAATTTCACTGTAATAGGAATTCCGCTCTGGAAATGTTTACCACTAAGGAAGTTGAACACTCAGGCTTGGGAATCAAATAGTACTATATCTTAAAAAAAAATTTGTTTATCTTCCAAGCCCTTCCCCAAACCTTCAATTCATACTATCTTGTGTTTAACTAGTAAGATAAAATTTCTGGATATATGTTGCTAGGAAAATTGTCCTCAAGAAAATAGGAAGATACTTGCAGGTTTTGGTGATCTCTCTTCCTTACATTGAATTACAGTAATAATTTACTTAGGCTTTGATATTAATTGCACTACATTGTAGCATCTTACTTTAGAAGTTTTCTGTGTTTGTGGAGATAAGGATAATAATTTTAAAGTAAATAAACGCAGGCTGTATTTCTGAGGAAGATACTGTGGAGAAGTCCTTTGTGGCACAAGAAGGCATGCCTGCTGTGTGCATTCCACTGGTGTGCTTGTCATGCTATTATCACTCCTACCGTACTACAAAGGCTGGATTTTCTGATTTGGTGTGTTCGTTTTGCACCATTAATAGTGTGTTAAATATATTTCTGTTGATGTCAGTGAACTTGCAGCTCCTAGCTAATTTATTTTCAAATACTTACTTGTATTCAATAGTACAAGTAGTATTTAATGTATAAATTGTGTTTAATAGTATAAATGCGAACAGTGGAATTAAACAGGTCTGTTTCTTCTGTGGATTTGTTTTGAGGTTAGCTAATCTTGATGTCTAACAACGTGTTATCTCTAATTTGGCTTTTTATCTGTGTTTGGGACATTTGTAAAGGGGTTCTTGTTGACTGCTTCTCTGGTAGATAGTAAAGCATGAGTTCATGTAGCGGGTTTTCTTGTCGAAGAATGACTTTAAGATCATTCCATCTGGTGCCTGTTTTTCAGAAATATTCATTGTTTACTTAGTATCTCTGAGAACTCTGCATCTGTGATGATTTAGTAAGAATTGGCCAAACCATTCTCAAGCTCTTAAAAGCAGATGGAGATAAATACATACACACACAATGTCAGCAAGTTCATATAAACTTAATTTCTGTAAGAAACTAGGCTGGAGACACATTCTGAAGGTCAAGTTTGAAAAGGAACTTCCCAGGAGCTGACTTGAAGATGCAAATACACCCACTCCCCTTTGAGAAGTTCTCTTACTTCCACCTCTCTTGCCCTATTTTTCTCAATAGGGAGAGGGCGTTCCCTCTTTGCAAATGTTTGGGCTGGCAAAGCTGAAGGAGGAGCCACAGGCAACAGGCAAAGAGCGACTCTTTTAGCTCAATAAGAAATAATGCAAAAACTGTAACAAAAGAATATAAATATTTTCAGTGGGATCATAAACAGCTGCACAACAGTGTGTCAGTACAGTACAAGAGTTGAGGTTGGGTGGAGATGAAGGTTGGGCAGAGAAAAAGGAGTAGGTCTTGTTTCAGACAGCTCCTGAAAATGGCCTGGATAACCAGTAAGGCCTTGTAGGAGATGCAGCTGTATATGTGTTCTTCACTCTTCCTGTCTTCTGCCGTGGATGCATCAACTGCCTTTGTTTGTGTATTTTCTGATTTCAGTTATGAAGTCAAGTGTATTGATATGATTTACATAATCTTAGTTTACACTACTCTTGAGCCTTCATTGCAAAATTCATGTCAGTAGTCGTCATCTGTGTAAACCAGAAATTAGATCCTCTCTTTTTTTATTTTATGATGATACAACATCCTTTGCATGGGAATTCTGGTGTGTTAATAGCATTGTTAGCAGGAAATGTTGTCATGCTTAGTGATTTTTATGATGTATTAATAAAAAATGAACATCTTATTTTCCTCAGTGGAGTACTACAAACAAAGGACTCCATAAAGAACAAAGAGTGTGAAGAAGAGGAGACAGAAAATAAGCTGCTTATTTCAAATGAAATTAAAGGTAAATTGGCAGTATTTCATTTGTTTCATATTAAAATCTGCAGAACTAAAGAAGTGTGATATTCCTTGAAATTCTTCATGAAACTGCATTTCAACTTATTTTCCACATTGACTATTTGCATCCAGAAATTTCTTGACAGCAACACTTTTAACACTGTGTTTCTTTATCTTGTAATCATCAAAGACTTTGCCAAAAACTTTATCAAAGTTGTAAAGATGAGTGCAAAATGAATACTGGTATAAAAAGTTTCATTTCAAGAATATTTTTCCACTGACTTTTAAAAATAGGTAATTAAACCAGTCTGAGTTGTAAACGTTCACTTATTGCTTCAAGAGTGTATTGAAAGTTGAAGCATTTACACATTATAGGCATAATTCACAGTCAAGATGACTTACTCAGCCCAACCTCAGTCTGTTGTGCAGTCTGATACTTACCAGCAGCCCATATGCAGAATGGCTTCTTCATTTTTCAGGAATGTTACAGAGCGATGGCTAAAATTTTTACTTCACTGAAAAACTGGAGGGCAACCAAGCTGATTAGGTGGTTGAAGGGCTTGACATATTAAGAAAGGTTGAAGGAATTTGGAAAGGGAAGGCTTAGAGGAATCTAGTCATAGTCCTTCAGTAACTAAAAGGTAGTTACAGAGAAGATGGAGGTGCCCTCTCCTCCAGGATGCACAGTGGTGGGAAAAGAAGGAACGGACACAAGTTGCTTCAGAGGTTGTTCTGTCTAAATGTAAGGAAGAAATGTCTCACTGTGAGAACAATTGGATTAGGCTACCTAGAAAAGAGGTGGAATCTCGCTGGAAATATTGAGGACTTGGCTTGACAGAGCCCTGGATTACTTAGTTTAATGTCCTGCTCTTAACAGAAGGTGGCATCACATGATCTCCAAAGGTCCCTTCCAAGATGGACTTTTCTTTGGTTCAGTGATTCTGTGTGGTTATTTGTACTGCTGTGTCAAAACTCTTGGCTGTTCACTGATCCAGTTGGACACATTGAGGTAGCTGTTCATTAGTCATTTTATCCTCATTGTTTAGAAAGAATACAGCACAAATCCAGAACGTCACGGTCTTATATTTGATAATTATTTTGCGCGTGTGAAACTCGGTGTGTCAGGCTATTTAGTTAAGAGTCCGTGCATTGTTTCAGGGCAGCTTTTGCTGCTATAATTTTATTAACGTGCATGCAAGTTCAGTGAGAAGCTAAATTGCTTCAATTTCATAATTTAATTCCTTAAAGTTTTATATTTTTTTCTACAGCGGTTTGTTGTGCAGCACAAAATTTGTAAGGCTTTCATCAGAAATCTTGAGACTTGAACAACTGTGGTTCTTTAAGAGCTACGTTTTTTACCTTTTAAGTGAGCTGATTGTTGTAAAACCCTGGAAATTGTTCTAGACTAGTAAAGCATTGCATAAAGATAAAATAAAGTGATGTTTTATTTTTATTAACCTGTAATACATTTCTTTTTATCTTAAAACATCATTTGTCTGCCAGCTCTTTTCAGATAGATCTAAGAGGCACTCTGAAGAGCATGTGAAGTATGAAAGATTCCAGCTATTACAAGAGCTGTGCAAAAGATGTAGAAAAATCCAGGTTGTTACGATGTTTTGAAACATGTTGTAGTTCAGGATTCTGGAGGAAATGAGGCATTAAAAGAAGAATCTTACTAAAGTGGATGAAAGAAAGAGAGCTTTTGGTCATTTAAAGTTTTTTGTTTCAGCAGAATGGAAACATACTGTTTTGATGTTGACTTTGCATTATTTTGCGTTATTACAAAAATTTTAAATCAAGTAATTTGGAACATTTTAAATTGTCTGCAGTTCTTCTTTTGTTGTGAGAAAGCTGGCCTGATTTTGTGAAGCTTTTTGAGTTTGGCAGAATAAACTGTTTGAATGAAGTTTCACCAACTAACTCTGCTTACTACTTTGGATGCATTTCTGTGTAGAGTCTTGCATAATTAGATTTATAAAACTAGAATACTTTCATACATTATTGTTTAACAAAGTTATCCTTTTTACCTCCTTTTTATATACATAATTTTTTCCCATTATTTATTTAAATGTGCCATAATACTTAATCTTCAGGATTGAAATGGATCATTGAGTTCTTGCTACCATAGTCATGGAAAGCTCAAGCTAAAATAATTGCAGTTGGGCAGACTTTTGTTAAGTGTGACTGCTGATACCTGTGCTTGTTGTTTAATTATTTTTTTCTGCGTGTCATTTACATTATTATTCTTCAGCCTACTTTTGCCACTCTTGCATGACTAGTTCTCTGCTGATACTTCATAAAACATGTACCGCTATATTTATTTTTTTGGAGTATGATTATTTGGAACAAAAGAACTCCACTGAAATCAGGAGCCCTTCATACTAGCTTGTTTTACAGACACAAATCCTGTGTTTAAAACGTGACATGTGATAGAATCTAGAACATACAGGAGGGAATGGACGGTGTTCATGGTCTCTCATTGCTGCCAAAAAGTGTTTGCCATGTAGCTTCTTTGAAACTTTAAGTTATATTTTGTTGGAAGGTAACTCAGTAAGGAGATAGAGAGGAATTAAGGAAGACATGGTTCAGAGGAAAGGATAACAAGACTGCATTAAGTACGAAGAAGAATGTAGAGGCAGGTGGGCTAATGCTGAAGCAAAATGTCAGCAGAGGGGAACAGTGATGAGGGTTAAAAGTGTGAACTTACTGCATCTGGTTCTGCTGTCTCACATGGAGCTGACAGACAGATTTTGTTTCTTCACTTATGTGGTTCAAGGAGCTCTTTGTGGCTCTGTGATGAAACCGGATAAGCCACGGTGCACCTCAAGTTACTGTTCTAAATGTCCAAATTGAGACATAAATTGGAATACATCACGTGTTTTCTCTGGCCCGCAAGCACAGATTGCCTCTGTATGGGAAGCAGGACTTGCAGAGCAAGTAGTACCAGAGCATGAGGGTAGGGAGCACTTTTAGGTCTCTGATGTTACAGACATAGATTGTGACCAAAATAGTGTGTTTTGCAACAAGTTACCCACACTAAACCTAAACGTCCTTTTGTCAGGGATGTGGTTATATCTGCTGCAGGGTTGAGAACATTTTTTTTTTTCTTTTCCTCCATCTAGTTGGGTAAATTGACACTTTACGTGCTCCTTTCGTGCTGTTCATCTTACCAGATACGACACAGGGTGAGCAGAGGCATTTTTGCCAACATCCTCCAAGGCATTAGGCACTGAATTCCTTTCCATGTCAGTAAATAGAGCTCTCGAAAGTGAATAGATGGAGTACAAGGTTTGGCATTATGCAGTGTCACGGCAGCAAGCTTATTTTCTGCTAACCTCATTCATAACTACCTGACCTGTGTTTGCTTGAAGTTTTCCAAAAACACGCAGCATGGACAGATGCCCAGCATTGATTTTTCGTCTGGAACTGTTAGGATTTGGCACAGCTGTAAACTGTTGAAAATAGAGACATATGGGATATATAGGTAACCTTAACTGTCATTGCTGCTACTCACTATGCGTGTATCTGTGTGGTCTTACATATGCATATGTTTAAACGTGTGTGAAAATTCAGTGCAATTTGCTTGGAATTTTCTTCACGCACTATTGTCATCAGCTATTTAAGTTACAGCATCAATATTACATGCCTTGCGAATGGAAAACAAAAATATAGCTAAATATTTACATTTTCAATTCTTAAGAGACCTTTTTTGGAAAGAAAAAGATCAAGGGATAAGGATAGGGAGGAGATTCAAGGAAACAATGTGAAAGATACTATTTGGTAAAATATGCTTTGCCTTCAGCATGCTCGCTGCCTTACAAGACTCTTTCCTTTCTTGCTGAGATTTTTAGTAGTAATAGAAGCTCTAAGAAGCATTTGGAGAACAACAGTGAAGTGTAAACAAATTTAGGGAACTCACTTGCAAGAGTAAGAGTACAACGTTAGGGAAAAATTAAGGAGTCTATTAAAAATCTAATCAGTGGAGTGACAGTACTAACTAAATGGCTTAGGAGTCAACTTCTGAATAATGGACATTGATATAAAATGTGGATAAGTCTTGAAAGTAACAAAAATTTAAGCTGGAGGAGCAGAACAACACAGGCAAATGTAATTACATCCGTTATTGGCCACATTATATATTCTGGACCAGTCTCACTGTGCTGGCAAAAATCTATAATAGGAATTTGTGCCCTAGTTGTTGGGCACAAATGTATGAAAACTAGAACAGTAAGAATAGGGGGAACTGTGAATAATAGCAACTTCCCAAAAATGGAAATGAAATGGAGCTGTAGTAGAAGTGACTGATCCAAACAAAAATAGCACAGGGATTTGTGAGTGATTGCATGAAGCCATGTCAGTAAGGAATATTAGGCATAGGTTCTTTGTTGGCTGTGTCGTTTAGAAATGAGTTCCAGAGTTTTTCTGCAATTTTACTCAGCAATTGGGAGGCATTCAGGCCTAAATTCATAGCAGGCATGTTGCTTTTGTATTTGCAATGGATCTAAATGAACGTGGATGTCTTACACGGTTTGACATCATTCGAGGCATGCCTTGTCACTCTTTCCTCCTACACACATCTGCAACAGCAGCATGTGGCTGAAGCCACCCTCCTTTGAGAGCTGGTGGGATAGGAGCTCATTCCTTCCATTGTGGATAAGTGAGATTAAAAAGGGGAACGACCTCGCAAAAATCCCCATAGTAGCACAGAGGAGTTAAATGTTGTTTTCTAAATACAACATTCAGTTAAAGTGGGAGCAGGGAGTTTGCAGACGTTTGGGGTTTTTCCTCAGAAGAACTGAAAAACATTGTGTTGTAGATGAGGCATAAATGTTGTGTGGGCTGGAACCGTATGACTGATGCACTTGGAGTTTTGTAGCAGTGCAGTGCTGCTTTTGATGAAGTTATAACAGCTCAACCCTGGAATTAAGTTACTTCTTGTACTACTTACTGTGCAACTATTAGATGTGGGTGTGATTTATTGTATCAAAATATTTAAAATTATTTGACCTGTGGTGTGATATGCCTACAGTTGCATTGGCATAGAGTTATGTTGTTTTGAAAGGGATTTTTTTTCATGTAAGAGTAGTTACATTTATATAGAGCCAATATAATCACAGTCATACTAGTGGAGGAACAGTCATGGTGCTGCTCTAACTCTGGTGTAAGCAAAACAGTACAGCTTGTGCAGGGAGGCCAGTATGTATCAACAGAAATGAGCATGCTTTTACTGTGACTGATCTCATCACTGACGAAAGGATTTAATGCTTGTTGCTTCCTGTTGTTAAAGATACTGAAGAACCCAACACGCAGAGGCTTCTTTCTCAACCAGTTATAGTGGCTTCCAAGTTGCAAATTCCCGGCCTACCCTTGCGCTGGGAACAGCAGAGCAAGCTCCTTCCAAGTGTAGCTGGGATCCCAGCCAGTAAAGTTTCTAAGTGGAGCACAGATGAGGTAAGTTTCCCCTGTTTCTTCTGTCTCAATGCCACTGCCCTTGACATCTCGGTTGGTTCAGAGCTTTAGATTAACCCCATAAATTAGCAATAATGCATTAGTACTTAGAGGATCAGAGTCAGCCAGACCCAATGTTACAGATCCCCAAAATGCCCGTTGAGCTGCCATCCAGCCTTAGAAGCAGTAAGTATTCATTCGTATGTGTATAGGTAGGTATAGAGAGAGATACATATGTTGAAAGTGAAAGAAAAGTGCTAAATGTATGGCTTGGTAGATCAGGCGCTCAGGGTCGACACTAATAATGTCTAGCACCCACAGACATTTTGGAGGAATGGTTGAGTGGTCAGCATGGACCAAGGAGCTGTTCCTGTACATAGTTTGGACATGGCACACTGTTTTGAAGGGTGAGAATATAGTGCAGAGAGGAATGGTACGGATATGGTCAGGCTGTGATACCTGATTTCAAGATTAGAGCCCTGTCTGTCACTGTTTGAGTATGTAATAATGCTTGGACAGACAGGGTCAGGTCCCTGCTTTACTTCCAGAAGTACTTATGGCTAAGGCAGTTTCCTGCAGCTGGGACAGTCGGATCTCCTCTAATCAGAGCAAACAGAAACATGAACTTCGAAAATGGATTTGGTAATCTCTGTGCTGTAAAAAATAAAGAAGAGGAAGGCAGCAACCATTCTGGTTTGTGAGAAGTGATTCAGCAAGAGAAGATTCATGGTTCTGGATCTTCATGGCTAGAATAACCTCAGTGATTTTGAGGGAGTAGCTGTATCTCACTCTTAGATGTCCTGTGGATGAGAGTGGCACATGCTCTTTTAGTTCGCAGATTTTGTGAATCCTGTCCTTAAACATCCAGCTGCATGACTCTACGCACTTACAGAAGAAGGTTGGACACCCAATATGAGACTGTAAAAACAATAGCTAAAAAAAATTTAATGATTTCAATCTTTAAGACTATTTTGAGAAAACGGTGGTCTTACCACATCTTTTGTTGTTACTTTGGTGACAGGTCTCTGAATTTATACGGAGTTTACCAGGATGTGAAGAACATGGCAAGGTGTTTAAAGATGAGGTGGGTGAATTTTATTTTTAAAAGACACAGAGTACAAAGCTTAGTCGAAATATTAATTTCATATCATAATTAAAGATACATATAAAGTAGTAGGATTAATTGTATGTTTAAAGTCAGACACAAATGTGTGAAATACTAGGTTTATTTGCAAGTCATGAATTGGGAAAGAAGTAAAGAAGATAAAACTAGCTTAGTGTCAGCCAGGTCTCTTGTGCTTCTCTAGCTTCGTTACTTTAACTGAAATCACTTAGAATTAATGGTAAAAGAGCAGGAACTTGGTGATTAACTAGTTATCTCTTAATCTAGTTTGAGGAAATTTGTGAGTGAGTGTGTTATTTTAGTTCTGCAGGATGTTAGTAAGTAAAAAGCAGACCAGTCATTCAAGATAACGACCTCTGAAAACTCTTTGCATCGTGTCTGATCACACTTAGCTCTTGATGCTCTTCCTGCTGATATAACTAGTTTACGAATGTGATTTGAGTGAGCAGGAAGCAAGAAGATCCGAAAGCTTCCGATGAGGTTAAGAGGAGCATGTACTCACTTTGTGAGCACACCAGACGTGCATTTCTGGTATCTGAGAAGATTGTTGTGCCTCAGTTGTCGTTAGGAAGTGATAGGGCTTTTAGGTCCAATAGACCTTTATAAGCTAGGTTGGCTTTTTCTTTTCATAGAATCATAGAATCATAGAATGGTTAGGGCTGGAAGGGACCTTCAAAGGTCATCTAGTCCAACCCCCCTGCAAGGAACAGGGATATCTCCAACTAGATCAGGTTGCTCAGGGCCTCGTCCAACCTGGCCTTGAACGTCTCCAGGGATGGAGCATCCACCACCTCTCTGGGCAACCTGTTCCAGTGTTCTACAACTCTCATGGTAAAAAATTTTTTCCTAATATCCAATCTGAATCTATCTCCCTCTATTTTAAAACCATTACCCCTTGTCCTGTCACAACTGGCCCTCCTGAATAGCCTCTCCCCATCTTTCCTGTAGGCCCCCTTGAGGTACTGGAAGAACTCTCAGAAATTTGTTACTCCTGTTAATACTTGTAGATAATGCTTATGTATAATGCTTCTTAGTTTCAGTAAGGCTGTTTGATCACAAATTGCCAGAGTGGGTTGTTCAGGTTCTTATCCCAGCCAGACCACCTGAATGGGCAGAGCCTGATACTGTAATATCCCAAGCCAGCCAGCCTTTCAAGGGAAGAATAATTGTGCTACTTAGACTGAGAAGGCACCTCCTGAAGAAAATGCATCCAGATGGCCCTGCTAATCTCCTACGACAAGTTTTCAGGCTATGTAGATCGTAATGGCTGTTACAGTGGCATATCAAAGGACTGACAGGCTGCTGTCTCTGGGCATTTTGCACTTGCCTAGATGTTAGGCATTTTACAGCTGCAGCTGGTGTGTGGGCCTAAATCATCCCCTGTGTCGCTGAGGGTGTCTCACCCATGAATTGGAGATCAAAAAAAGCTGGTATATCGCTGCTCGTCAGCAGGTGGGAAGTGCCACAGAGATGGATGAATACTAGAGACTTTCATTCTCAGAGATGTAAGAAAATACTTCCCCTCTTTAGGATTCAGCCTCTCAAGCTTTGTCTGCAAGTAGCAAATTAAACCTCTTCCAGTGAGGCCAACTAGAATGGACTGACTGGCATCAGTAAGTCTTTCAGTGGGTAGAAGGTGCTGGTTCAAACATCTAGTGTGGAAATGAGCCCTCATCCTGCTTATATTAAGATGCTGCAAAAAGCTGGGCACTCCCATGTCGGCACACGTCTGGGTCTGAGCCCACCCAGTCTACCTTTGTGCATGAAATGAATAGAAAGTAATTGTGGTAACTGCATGATGCTGATGCTGTTCTCAGTGCAGTTTTCCTCGACTCACAGTGCTGGGATGTACCTTGCAGCCTTCTTTGCAGCATGTGTGATTCAGAAAGCTTGTCGTGTAGTCCTACGGAAACTTAATTACACTGTTGTTATCTCAAATTAGTACCTTTAAGCCTAAGCAGTGCTCCTGATTTAACCACAGGTGGCTATCCTGCTTATGTTACACTGAAAACTTATAAGTGACCTGAGCCTACACCACAATAGTTTGCCCCATTGAAGCCCTTGGAAGTGAGGGCCTTGCCTTGTGGCTCTTCATGTTTGGATTTAGCACTCCTGCTGACGGACAGATTTGCTTGCAGGAGAATATTCACTTGTAACGTTTATTAAAATAGCAACACTGCAAAGCTGGCAGAAAAAAACATTAAATGCTTTGAAAAGTTGTGTTTGTGTCAGAGGCAGTTTTCTGTAGCCTGGCCGCCGTTTACATCTGGGTCCAAATTCCTTTAAATTTGCCACTTAATGAGCAGAAATGGGTGGCCCGAAGGAGGTTCCAGTTCTTTAGTTGGGAGTGAAATCCAGGAGCTTTCTTATGGAGGCTGGCATAAAAGGAGTAGCTAAGATGTTCAGAAGCATTACTGTGCTGCGGTACAGTTGAATTCTACTTCATTTACCCGTTTTACTTTCCAATAGCTTTTACTTTATACTGTCAGTATAAAAATAAGAAGTGGTTAACTAAAAATTAGCCAGACAGTTGTTTTCAAGGAGAAAGAAGATCATCATCCTTCTCTGTCTAAAAGGTTGAAATCAAAGCTATCCTGAAAGCATTTGAAAGTGTTTGTATTCAGCCATTCCTTTACGCTGCCTGAAATTGCTGGGAATTTTCTTTTCATGTTTTCTGAAACATCTATGCTGCTGCACTGTCAGACCTATTAATAGCTTTGTGTGTTTTTCTTTTAAAGCAAATTGATGGAGAAGCATTTCTGCTAATGACCCAATCAGACATAGTCAAAATAATGAGCATTAAACTGGGACCAGCCCTAAAAATCTTTAATTCCATTCTGATGTTCAAAGCTGCAGAGAAAAACTCACACAATGAACTTTGAAGATAATGGAAAATGTGTAGGAGCCAGCTTTCTCCACTGGAGCTCATGTTTTATTCAAAGCACAAAGACTCGCTGGAACTGTTGAGTAACGACTCTCAGAAAGGAAGAAACTTTCAGCACTGGTGGACTATTTATACTCTCCTAAAGCCAGTACACACCTGAATCCTTCTGGGAAGTGTTCAAGCTTTTGAGAAGGTACTGTGTAACAACCGAGTCAACCAGTCTTATTTGCCAAACTAATGGCGCCAATTCTCCGTGGATGGTTAGGATCCCTAACTTTTCTCTGGACATCAAGAAAACCTTCATTAATTATTTATGCTGTGTTATATAAGGGAACCTTAATATTTTCTAAGAATTCTTGAATTCTGCTTCATGTACCCCTTTTACTTTTCAGAAGCTTTTACTTCAAACTATCAAAATAAAAACTGATTAGCCAAAAATTAGGCTACAGGTAGCCAGATGAGACTGTTATGGCTAATATGTATTTGTGCCATAGTTTAAAAATGAAACACTTAATGTTACATACGTGACACTTTATGCTACAGCATATGACTTTACAGATTATAAAACTGTCTGTTTGCTTGTAACAAAACAAACCAAACCTTGTTGGGGTTGAGATTATAATGCTTTTTTGATAACTGAATGTTTTTACTTTTGCACGATTACAAAAATGTTATTTGAGTTTTTCCACCAGCATCTTTAATGTATTTTACCAAAAGATCAGTATAGAGAAGGCTGCAGCTGAAAAATAAAGTTGGACTACGTAGGAGGCTTTTTGTTTATGCTACACAAGAGAGTTCCAGCCTTTTACATGAGAGCCTGCTACAGTCAGTCCTTCAGCACATGAAGGAAAATACCTGTATTTTGAGGTAAGGATATTAGCAAAAAAGAAAATATATTCATTCATGTCTGCACATGCCAGTCTGCAGTATAGTTAGCACAATAGTGGAGAAAAACAGCGTGCTAAAGCTAGGACTGCTACTCTGGCTTCATATTCAACATAGGTTTGTTTACCCAGTGGTGGGAGAGTTATTTCACCCACCACTTCCTAATTGGAAAGTCTGATTTATAAATGAGTAAGGCATAGGGGGGAAAGACAAAGCACGGAGGAGAAGGATGCTTAAAGGCAACTGGTGCGTCGGCACATCCTAGGTGTAAACCCCATGCATTTCACTGGGTCATTAGCAGGCTGCAGATGCCACCAGCAGGTACGTGGGTGAGGCAACCTTCTTTCTTGGAGGATTATTATAACGATTTGTCAGGGAAAGTCGTTGCACTTGGTATATATACGTAAGATGTAAACCAGATGCACTTTAAATGGGAGAAGGCCTAGCTACATACCGAGGACTGTTCCAGAATGTTACTTTTGCAAGGAGAGAGAGAAGAGTTGCATCAAGATTTTTGGCAGCCCTCTTGTTAGCGCTGCGGTGTGCAGTTGCTCAGCCTTCAGAGCTGAGAACAAACAGCATTTCCGTTGCACAGAGCTGGGAGAATTTTACATCCTCCCACAGATTTTGCTAGGCTGTTCTTTGGCTGGAGTTCCTTATGATTTCAAGAACTCTCTGTGTCCCTTCCAGATCATGTAGGTGACTGGTACCTGCCATAATAAGAGGTGAAACAGGGTCAGTATGAAGTAAGTTGCATTGTTCTGTTAATTTCCTTCCATAGCATTGCATAAATAATATTTTTACATTTCGTTCAATATTTGTACATTCAAATTGCACTCTTATTGTACTACAATACAAATAAAACCTGAACTGGAGCCGTCTGTTACATTTGTGCATGCCCAGGATTCTCAGATGAACCTGGCTGTTCCCCAGGGCGGTGTGGAGTAATTCCTCACAATAGCTTGAGGTGGCCATGAGTTTAAAAGAGCAAATTGGCTGCTAAGGTCTGCCCTCTGCCAAAACTCTTATGCCTGAAGTTCACAGGCCAATTACTGTCACAATCAGAATCCCATTTACGGACCTGGATTTTGTCACTGGCAGCAGCTGAAGTTGCCTGTGCAGATCAGTAAAATGACAGGTTCTTCTGTTTTCTTTCCTTCTGTCCTTCCATGTAGTTTATTTCCCCTAACCCTCTGTGTCTCACTTGTGTACTGGCTCTGTAGCCTGCAGTGAGAACCAGCAAAGAGATTTGCTGCTCGACAGAGATTACTTGGGAATGTTAGCAGCTCCCTGAATTTTTATATACCTACTTATAAAGTACTGTGGTTTAAGAAATGGGTTTGAATTCATGCTCTTTACAAGACGTAGAATAAACCTCACTTAAATGATACAGAGCCCAACTTTTTGTTCACACAGTTGACACTCCCAACAGTGAGGACATGCATGATCCTTACTTTTGTATCCCCTGCGATGAGGTAGCAGGGTGTAGTCACTTCTGTTACAAAATCTACGCCCAACAAATTCACTCAGAAACTAAAAACATTCAGGAGACCTACTGAATCTTTAAAAGGGCTGTTGGGATTGGTTTGTATGTTGTGTTGGAGGGAGCGCGGCCGTCACACAGGTACAGGCTGTCCCCTGATTTCCGTGTGAGCCACATGCAAAATCCTAAGACTTTGGCAAGAGAGTCTGGCCATTAAATGCGGCGATCTCCCCTCATACCGCGGGGTCTCCCACTGTAATCTGCACAGCCAGGCTTTAGCAAAACTTCTTTGGTCTTCCAAGCTGAGTGTTTGAGTGTTGAAAGAATCGTGGTGACCACAAATGCTGCTTTGCCACCGTGGACGTCGTTAGAAGTGGTAGGCGATTGATCTTTTTAGTAGAATGCAGTGTTTTAATAAAAAGCCATTTCAATTTCTAATAAATGTAATGGATCATGTTTGCTGGCTGCTGCTACTGTCCATTACTAGGTGCTTGTCCGAAGTCGTGTGCTGTCGCACAGTAATCCCTGGGATTTCCAGACATGCAGCAGTTAAGAGGAATGTGTTAGGGAGAAGAGGAGGCTGAGGAAGAAGAGAGGAAAAGGCCTCCAGTCCGTGTGGGCAGACAGACAGTCACCATGTGGAGAAGGTCGATTTATTCTGGGGAATACACTGAGAAAGAAAGTGAGGCCACCTCTCCCCAGCACCAAAGCTGTGGTTACAAACACAGGCGGCAGCATCCCAGATAAGTCAGTCTTGCTACTTTGAGAACTCATCTCAGAATCCCTATTTAGCAAATTCAGGATTAATGCTAAAAGAAAAAAGAAAATAATATTTCATGCACAGAGGAAATAGTGAAAACTCATCATCCTGAAAAATAAAAATCAGACCCACCATTTTAAACCACAGAAGTTACTATAGCAGGTCTTCAGTGATCATGATACAATGAAATGATGGTAACAAGTAAGTGTTTAATTTGTGCCGCTTCAAAACATTGAATGTTTTAGCATCTGAAGCAGCAAAGTGCACACATTAACTCAGAAGTGTGGTTTTTAAATTCTGACAGTCAAAGACTATCCAAATTTTTTAAATGTTCCATAGGCGAAAATAATACATGACACATGCAGTAATCTAGAAAACTTTATTATCTCTAACACCGCTATAGAATACTGTAGAATTTCCTTGTAAAAGAATGAAAATGCTTTGGTTTCAAATTTTTAAGAAGTGGCCAGTACAATAAAAAAATGGGCATTATTAAACGTATTGGAGTTATAGATACACATACATTTTCACCAGAAAGAAGGGCACTGATTTGTCTTCACCACAAAGAGATTTATTTTGACAAAATGTCAAATGCTGCAGAGAGGAGTACTCCGTACACCGTCAGATACTGGGATACTTGGGGCCCTTCACCCCTCTCTTCACCTGGGTGGGGAGGGATGCTGGGCTTCTTACTTCGAAGACCAGGGTCTCGAGGAAGTTCAGTGTCCTGTGGATTCTCTTTGGGCACGGGATATCGAACACGTGAAACACAGCCACCAGCGCGGCCAGGGCCGTGGTGCAGTCATCAAGCTGGGCCAGCTCTTCTCTTTCCACATACAGCGCAAACTCGCATGAATTCACGTTGAAGGGATTTTTCACTTCCAACACTGGTGTCATCACCTTCACCTAAATTAAAAAAAGGACATTTCAAATGATGTCACAGCATCGCTTTGGTGAACAGGTCAGAGAAGTAAGTAAGCATAATAACACTGCTTTGAAATTAGCTAGTATTTCTATGAACGTTTGCCTTCTACCCAAAAGGCAGGCTGATGTCATCCTTTTCCAGGAAGTAAGCTGAGCCACCAAAAGCCCGAGTGATGTGCCCAGGGAGCTCATCGGATGAAGAGAGACCAAGACTGCTTGTGCTCTGTCTCCTACCTCCTCGTTCACTGCAGCAAACAGACTGGAATCGTCTCCAAAGACATCTGGCAGGAGTAAACATGCAGCAGTCATTTTCATATCTGTCAAAGGCAAGGATTTTTGCTAAATTACAAATGAAAACATGTTGGCACTGCACTATCATCCTGGAAAAGCAGATTGCAGCCTATGGAATAGTTAACAGCTCAGCAGCGGAACTGTTGTTAGTGCATTTGGAAGAGTAGTTTGTACCACAGTGAAGGCTTAGGTGCCTCAGCTGGCAATGGGCAGTGGTATTCAAATCATTCACGACACTCTGCTGCTCAATATTACGATTTTCTCTCACAATGAGCAAGTGGGCCTTTGGGTTACTTCTAGTGAAGTTTGCAAGCTGAGTAACCCACCCACCCCCAAACTCTCTCCTCAGTAAATCAGGTGTCTCTGTTGCCAGAGGGCTCCGCTTTGAAGGCTGCAGTACAAACTGGTGCTGCAGGACCTCCTGGGGCATGGTATCCACCACCCCTCTGGTTCAGCTCTTGTTGTCTCTAACATCTTTTTGCAGGTCAGACTTCTGGTGGCATGTGTTTTGCTGAACCTATCCTGTCAGGTATTTATTATCTAGGTGCCAGGTCAAGCTGTTTGAAAGAAAAAACAGGAAAGTAAAGGTCTTGGGACTTTAGTAAGGTATGAGTTAAAATCTTTGTGGGCATATAGTACAAGAAAAGAGGAAATTACTTACAACATCCATAGCTTTCTAAGGCCAAAGGTATGAGTCCATAAAGGCTCTGTGAATTAGGCTGTTCGTGGACACTTTTTAACCTTTTGTGAGCTACTGAGTACTCATGTTTTTAAGCTTAGAGGAGGAAAAACTTAATATGGTAACCTACTCTGCTTACTTCTTTGAGAAACGATCCAGTAATAAAAAGAGTGAAACTGCTCTAGGAAACTACATGTGTTCATACTGTGTCTCCTTGGATTTGATATCCTGGCATTATGCCTGTTTGATAGAAAATGACAGTCAAAGGAGCACTTCTCACAGAGCTGAACTTGGGTGTAGGCACCTACAGCTGCTGTTTGCGAAGAATAAAGATTATTAGTAACTCCACCAATGTTTTGTCCCTGCAGAACTGCTCTCCCAGACTTTTCAGACTGAAAGAAGCTGAGCGTCAGCCGGTGCTTGCTGCCTCGCAGCCAGCGAGCCAAGCACGTTGGAGTACCTGGGCCTCTTTGCATGACTGTGGTACCTGCTCACCAGAGGTACCAGCTCATGCGCTTGTTCCTGCAACATGTCTCTGCAGAGACGAGGTACTTGAAACACAGGTAGTGGTAACTGATTCTTAGAATCATAGAATCATAGAATGGTTTGGGTTGGAAGGGACCTCAAAGATCATCCAGTTCCAACCCCCCTGCCATGGGCAGGGAAACCCTCCATTACACCAGGTTGTTCAAAGCCTCTTCCTTTATTTCACTAGGACGAAGACTTCAACCATAGAAAGAGTACCTCTCTTTCTAAAGGAAATAGTCTCTTTTTATGGAACTATTTCTCTTTCTAAACTAGGAAGTTCCTTTTCTGTATATATTTTAAGAAAATAATAAACACTTTTACATATCTAGAAATACGTAATTCTGCTCATTTTAAGGCAGTTACTAACTTTATCAAACCTGGAATCTTTTATTCAATAGGGAAAAAAAAGTTTCAATATGTGACTGACTTAATTTTCCTAGCAATTTATTAGCTTTTATTCTTAATGCTTCCCCATTGCTATATATTTTTTAAGCAACTGTGACATTTTAAAATGTTTTTGCAGTAAAATTAGAGCTAGTTTAGTTACATAAGTAAGAACAATTAGCTACAACAAAACTCTCATATTCAAAGCATAGAAGATTTGTACTGACATTTCAGAATGTCTTCTTCTGTGTGCTGCTTCAGATTTTCTTGCAGCATAATGTTAATTGGATTATTCCTCACCACATACAAAGATAATATGTTTTCTGAATAAATCTCCAAAATCTCAACTGTTTTCTTATAAATGTCCAAGTGTGTGAGAAGCTGGAACTCCCTAAAAAGCTAAAAGAAAAAGAAAAATTTGGTATTATTGCAATCCTCAAAATCAAAACTGAGAACAACACGAGGTGCATGCTTTGAAGACAGGATAAGTCTAGCTCAGTAAAATAAGATTATAAACTGAAGCGGAGGGTTTCATTTCTTTTCAAAGCAGAAAAGAAATACATCAAGTAACACCAAAATACTTCAAATAACCCACAGGTGGTGTGTGTGGCATGTTTAACATAGGACTGGTGAATCTTCTTAAGTGAGGTTAGCAGTAAAAATATAAGTTAGATTAAAGAGAATACTGTTGAGGATACTTCACTGGAAACATCCAGTAAAATATATGCCTAGAGTTGTGTCACATCTGTGACATAAAATTCAATGTCATTACTAAAAATAGTTCTATTACCTGATAAGGGCATCTTAAGAAAGGAAATAGTCTGAGAATGTCTTTTAAAGGTGCCTTATCATTGATCATCTTCCTCCGTATTTCTATCGTCACATTCATTCTCTCATCCACTTCTTTCCAGTTCCTCTGAGTTTTCATGTATTCTTGCTTAAGCCACTTAATGTGTACATCCATTGCACTGCCCTCAAGATGAACAGGTTCTTCCTATCAGGAAACAAAGGACAGAATTGTAACAAATCAGCTATCCTTTTTGATACCTGTTGTGGTTTGTGTGATTTGAGTGTAGTCAAAGTGTAGTCAAGCTCAGCAGAAAGTACCCGTAGTGTGGTTTCAGTACCAACTCTATGAACTCACCCTCAAATTCTAATAGTTAATACATTAAGATCTATTTTCATATAATACTGTAGCTGTCAGCCAAGTCTCCCAAGCTCAAATTACATGTTTGAGGATATTCATGAAATTCCTATGCTTGTGTCTGGTTTGCCTGATTGTGGTTTACTGGAAATTAGTAGGCAGTTCTAATGATGACTCAGTGTTTAGCAACAGTAGCTCTGTATTGCCAAGAGAAATAATATTTTCTTCTTCTCATACAGGTCCTGAAAGCAGGACAACTAACTTTCACAGTGATGCAACAGAAGTATTTACCCCCAAGGAGACCAGCTGAACTAAGAAAACTCGTAATGAAAAGCATTATTTGAGTAGTTTGACTGTTAGTGTGTTCAAAAAGTTATTTTGTACTTGAAGATATAATTAACAGTCTTCCTCTAAATTGTTATTATTGTCCCTGCTGTAATTCCAAACCCAGTAATTACTAGGAAGAGCAGTGACTATCCGATGAAGCAGTACATCGTCTGTGGCAGTAGCCTGGGGCTGTTTAGTTTCTATCGGAAAATGCAGGGAATTTCTCCATTGAAACAAGCTGAGACGACATACTGGTGAATGATGAGTACAGTTACCACTCTCAGGCTGCATTTACACTGGCTTTTCCCATAAACTGTTGTCACTGATGCCACTGTCATCTATGTCAGTGGTGGCCTGTGGGTCAACGCCAGAGAGAGGTGACACACTTCGTTCTGTTTCCCAGAAGATTTATGACATAGAGCTGCGAAACACGCAACATCCGATACTGCTTTGCAGTGCTCTGTATGTGCCATTTAACTTTCCAGGGTAATTAACGTCCTTTTTTAAGTGGCATTTCAAGAATGGTTGCACAAGGTACACAGTTAAACAACTGTCTCGCTCCAAGTAGGTGTCTGTGGATTTCAATAGCCATTGCTATCACAGAAGAAAATCAGGACAGTTACCTGGCATGACCCCTGCGGGTACTGCCCTGGCCCTCCTAGGGTGCTGTGTCAGCACAGTTTGCACTCTTTCTAATACAGGATTTTCATCTTAATTGCATTACAACAGTAATGCTTGTTTGTGGCCAGCTTGAGTAGGCATTC